CTGCAAGCAGCAGAAGCTAATTCGGGCTGATTGGGCAGAAAATGAGTTTTTGCTGAGTATTTACTAAAATAATGAACAGTTTTAAGGCTAAACTCCTAAGAACACCTGACTCCATACTGCCAAACTGATTAGATGAGGAAAATGATCGTTGCTGGGAAGCAGCAGATGCTAGAAGTAGCTGTCTTGTCATCTAGGAATGTTGCAGCCGTTTGCTGCTGCCACTGTGCACTATGAACACTGCAGACACTCCTGCTGTCAGGGCAGGGAACACCGAGTGTACCCTTCAACTCTGCCTTCCTGAATCACAGAGCCTGGAGGAGGTTTGTCTGATTGGCAAAGCCTAGTTCACATGGTGTGCTCTTGCAAGGGAAAGAAAGAAAGTTGAGGTTTTACGTCCACCTTGGTGACACATGGCTTGTGATGTGGGCCATTCTTCAAGTATAGGAAGAATGTTCAAAGGATGCTAAAAGACTGTGAACATGATTAATATCCACTTTAAAGAACATTGCTAACACACATTACTATGTAAGGACATTTTAGAATTCGTGGTATACATTTGCTTTAGTTAAGGGGTGAGGATGATTCACAATGTAACCATAACATCTTAACATCTTAAAGTCTATTCATTAAAAATAGGGGAGGGGAGAACTACAAGCACAAGTAGGCACCAAACATTATACCAAGGTAACCTCACAACCCACAGCTTAATAAACTGCTAATGGTAACATCTCAGTAAATTATATTCTAAAAAAAACCTAGAAACAACTGATAGTCAATTCAACTGATGATGCACTAAAAATAAAGCATCCTTCCCCCAAATCTCAGAAATTGTAAACATACATGGTGGGAATGGATGCAACATTGTGCAGTATGCACAAAGAACACTGATTTAGAATCATGAATTAATTTTATGAATACCAATTCTTAGGAATATTTAAAAACTCACTTTTAAGTTACAAGACAGTAGCTCTTAGCCATACATAAAAGTGAATCTATGAATTTCAGGAAGAACTGAAGAAGGGCCTTGGATTTTTGGATCAGTTAATGGTCCGTCAAGGGATTATCAACTAGGCTTTAAGCATCAGTCCTTTATAATGCCAGTTTTTATGTGGCTTTGAGTTGTTAAGAGTCACACCACAGCCTCATATCTACATGACCTTACATGTCCACTTCTCACACTAGGAGACTGAGTTTGGTCTGGAAGCACAGATTCTTCAGAGAAAGATTTGACTGACTGACTGTGGGTCACCTGTGTACTTCTGAATCACTTATGGCATGGAATTAGTCACCTGTTACAAACTTGGCTGCAGAGACCTCTCTCTTTAGTAGCGGATATGGAGGTAATTCCAAGTCCTCGTATTTGTTTATGATAACACCAACTATACCTGTGACAATATGGATAGTGTAAAAGCAATCTGTGGCCTTTTCTACACTCTGAGAACTCAGGTGTTTTGGAACATTAGTGAGGTGATGGCATCTAAGGGGAAAATAAGGGAGAACAGATAGTTGTCTTGATTTACATCAATTTCTTATTTCATAATTAAGTTTTTCATTTAACAGGCCATCAAGTTTTCCATGCAGCATTAAGTTGATCAACACCTGAAGTAGCAACTCCACCCCCTACATTTCCTCCCTTCCCATGGCCCAGGAGCAAGAAAGGGAGCCACTCTCTTCCCCATTGCTCTTTCATCTCACCCTTCCCAAGGTCAGCCTTACAGAAAACAGACAAGCTAAGTGATGTCACTTAAGGGAGACTCTTCCTTTCACCACGGTGAAGGAGATCTTGCATAAGTTTTCCTAAATCATTGGGGCAACTTCCCATCAGCTGGCCTAATTAATAATCTTTAGACTGACAATGCAGAAGTCACGTTAGTGAAAAAGTTACACTAATTAGAGTAACTTAGGTGAGATATGTCCTTTGTAATGCCTATATTATAGAAATGATTATCCATATGATGAAATGTGTCAGATAAATGTAAATTGTACTTGATTGACACTTAACTCTGTATATGCTCTGTCTTCACAGCTCAGTCAGCAGGGTTATCAATTTAAAACTTAAAAAAAAAGGACAACAGAAAGACCTTTATATAGTAGCTAAAGTTATTTTAAAAAATGTAAACCATTCCATGTCTGTCTTCTCCTCAAAAGCTTTCAATGTCTTCCCAATGCACTTTGCATAAAATTCAAACTTCTTGTCCTAACAAGGCCATATTTGATCTAGCCCTGTCTGTCTCCTCCTGTTAGAGTGTGAGCTTTTTGAAGCTGTTTTGTTCACTAATATAGCCCCAAATCTGAGTATAATGCCTAACACAATGAAGGTGATCAGCAAGTATTTGTCAGTGAATGAATGGCTATCACACAAACGATTATTTCTCTGTGGAACTAACTATATCCTAAATAGCTGGAGTCAGCTTTAACAGAGCATCCATTTATTCCTTGGGAGATTAGAAACAAGTAGCTTACAGCCATGCTTCCTTAAAATGCTCAGAACCAAGTGCAACAGGTTATAAATGGCAGCATTTCCCAAGTGTATTTCTTAGGACACTAGTGCTACAGATATTTCTTTATAATGGAGTTCAGCTGTCTCATCTGTATACCTAACTGCCTGCTGAACATCTCCATTTGGATGTCTCAGAGACATCTTAAATTTCACAGTCCCAAAGTGATATGATTTTCATTCACTCAATAAATGGTAATACATACTTGCAGTAGCTCAGAGCAAAAGCCTCTAAGTTTTTCCTGAATCGCACATTCTCGACCAATTCATTAGTTAATCTTACTGGCTCTACTTTCAAAACAAATGCAGAATCTCAGCACTTCATACAGCTTCAATGTAAACACCCTGGCCTAAGCCTCTGATTTTCTTGGACTGTTACAATTCCCTCTTCACTACAGTCCTCCTTCCATATCCATGGGGCATCCATGGATTCAAGTAACCCCGGATCAAATTCTATCTGTAAAATATTCAGGGCATTGCTGGGACGATTGAACATGATCATTTACTTGGTATCTAGGACAGACACATGGTTTACAGTTAAACACTCAACAACCACCCATTTCTTACAAATCTGAACTATTTCAACTTTTAAGAAAAAAATTACATTATATATATATATATATATTTTTTTAACCACAACTGAAAATTTTTAGAAATTACACAAATGTAGATTTCTTATTTCTTCAGACCCCTATCCTGATTCTATTCTACATGACTGTTTTACTGTCATTATGGGATGAGCCCACCTGGGCCAGAGTGGTAGAAAATGTCTTTAGAATCAGTAGGAATATTAGATATCCAGACCTGCAACTGTCACTGAGGAATAAGACAGGCATTATCAGAATGGGGAGGAAAAGATTATGCAATGCTTAAAAACACATTTACTGTTAAGATTTTGTATTTCAGAGGGGAAAAGCCCTATAGTTTTGGTAAGAGAAAGCAAAGCATCAATTTTCTTGGCTGATGGGGATGCACTAAAGATACTGTGGCTCAACCAAAGAAATATCTTATTGGAGTGTTGTGACATTTTTATATTGATCAAAAGGAGTCAAAAGCTTTTTTAAAAAGCCTAAGAAACTCTTATCTAGACCAATCCACTTCAAGGGTTTACAGGTTAAAAAACAAACAAGAGTTCCCAAAAAGTTAATAGTGTCCAAGTCCGGGAACTACGAAGTAGCTCAAAGTGAACCTAAAGAAAGATCCTTCTGACCTCTAGTCCGGTGCTCAACATATTACACATTGGCTACAGTCAATCAAAAATTAACTGTATAACAAGTGACAAAATGTTTCCCCCATTCAATAAAAATCATTTAAGTACACTGAAACAAAGATTTCATTTTTAATACTTGAGTTCTATTCTGGCAAATATCTGCCCTTGCCTTCCATATTCATACCTAAGAAAGAAGGCTTATTTCTTTTGCATACATAAAGGCTTCTTTTGCATACCATTATATCGCTTAATATTTACAACAATCTTGCCAGCTCAATGGTACTGTACCTGCTGTGCAGAGGGAAAAAACGAGGTTAGGTGAAATTAGGTACCTGTCCATGAGCATAAAATGAGCAGAACTGGAATTAATTCAGTCTGCCCAAAGCTCTTTCTACTACACCAAGCACCGCCCACCCCCCATCCCGGCCCCGTAAGGAAACAACTTGAGGAATCTGTATGCAGAGAAAAGAGCAGGGGCTATGCTTTTTGGATAGCCTTGGTCGTATATAACCTCCTAGTAACCCGCAGGTAACAGTCACAGCAGGCAAGTGAATGCTATAAAGTCGGTGCAAGATTTATTACTCAGCATTCTTGGTGAAGACCTGGTCTCAACTGAACGTACTGAAAATTAACCTCGCAACTTCAATTTAGCATTTCTAGAAACTGCTTGGAAAATAGTGGGGGGCTGTGCTCTCAAGTGGTCAAAATGGGACCATCACTGGGGCTCTCTACTTTTTCAGCTGTACAAGGCCAATCCGGTAACGTTGCAATTTTCCTGCAACTGCCCCAAGCGGCAAAACCCCTGGCCTCACCGAAAGCACATGCGCCAGCCCCCGCCCGGGGAAGCCATGCGCATGCGCCTTCTCGGCCTCTCCCGAGGCTACCACCGCCTGGTGGCGCCACTTCCCCCCACACCCGTTTCACCCGCTCAGCCCGCTCTTTCGAATACCTTTGTCTAATTCCATAAGGGCAGAGTTAGCATCCAGCTCCTGTTCGCCATAGCCGGCATCTGCCAGAAAAGACTTAGTTGAGTTTGAAGCCATGACCCGAATAGTTACTCAGCTAGCCTATTTAGAAAGATTGCAAACTCGGCCCCAGCACCGCCATCTTCTCCCACCACCTTCTCGCGGATTTTTCCTCCGCGCTTTGTCAAGCCGTGTTACGCATGCGCCTTGGCCTCCCCGCCGTTCGCCCCCGCCTCTGCGGCCCCCCGCGCAGGCGCTCAGGGAGCTCTTGAACTCTAGGTTCCCGCGGCTGGGAGAAAAGGAGGCGGGGATTCGAAGGGGGAAGTGACTCAGACGCGCCCGGACGCCTCGTTGGGAGCCAATCAGAGGGCGTGACGTCAGTTTGGCGGGGAGTTTGGTGGCCGGGGCTTACAGTGGCGGGAGTTGGAGGCAATAGCTTGTCGAGTTCTGAGGGGCGCAAAGCTAGGATTTCTGCTGAATCTGGAGGTATTTCCACGGCTTTTCCCTCAGTTAAGCCTCTTCCTCTGGCCCCGATGCTCTTCAATTCGGTGCTCCGCCAGCCCCAGTTTGGCGTCCCGAGAAACGGTGAGTAACGGCCTTAACTGCTGCTTGTAGCCGGCGGGATTCACCTCCCCCGGAACAACCCCTCGGACCAGTGCCGACTCCAGTTCTGTTTCCCAGCCGCCGAGTTCTCCCACAGCCAGAGTGAGCTCGTGTTAGCGAGGCGTACTGAAGAAAGCTGCACTTTCGTGCCCTCGAAATACTTTTAATCGTATCGGGATTTTTTTGAGTCGTAATTTAGGCTGACGGAGGGAGGGGATGTTGAGTTAACTGGCCTCCATTGCGGCTTGTGTCTATTTTGCACAGCCTGGAAAACGCGTGCATTTGTGTCTGTGTGATTCTCTCAACAACTTTGTGAGGTAGTCAAGACTCGTATTCATTGGTTAATCCATTCATTTGTGGTAGAACCTTAGTGAGCCCTGCTATTTGCTGTATACGCCGCTGAATATGACCCGCTGTTAAGGAACTCAGGCAGAGAAGACAGAACACCTGCTTTTCTAGCATGGTCAAAATTTTTTCAGCCAGATTAATACATAGGCATAAAAACTCATAATTATAGAGTGAAAAATGCCCATGAGCACGTCCGACGGAAATGACCACTGTTAATAGACTGAAGTATTTTATTCCAAATGTTTTTCAGTGCCAGAGGTAATAAGTATTGTTTATAGAACTGGGATTAAAATGTTTTGTTCTCACTGTAACGGTATAACTTGGAAATATTTCCTTGTTAGTATGTGGAAATCCAACTTATTCTCTCCAATTCTTGAAATTTCTTAGGTTAAAACATTGGCAATAAGAATTTTGAGCTTATGTCTGAGTGTCATCAACCTGAAACTTTTTAAGTTTCTGATAAGAGAGTTCCTATACAGACTAAGCTTGGGTACAAATGAAACCTTTTATTTAAAGATGGACTATGTCTTCTTTCCCCCTTGAAACCATGTGGAAAACAGAAAGAAAATAACGTCAGAAAGGAACTTTTTATATTTAAGGTATAGGTCTAGGAAAAGGATATTGAGGATACTGGGAGTAGTCCCTCAGCTTCCTGCCCCTAATCTAAAACTATACCATCCTTACCTTTTAGACAGTCTTTTAAATTATACTCTAAATGCCTCTCTTTCTGCCTCTCCTGCCACCTTGCTCAAGTAACTTTTCTGTCCTCTGTGTCATGAGTGTCAGTATAACATGGTAGTTAAGAGGTCTGTCTTTGGAGTTAAACTTCCTGAGATTTAATTCCACTTCCACTCCTCACTTAATCTATGTGACTTGGAGCAAGCTATTTAGCCTTTATTTTTGTGACAGATTTTCTCCTGATTTTTCATTCTGTCTGTCTACTTCTTCCCTTTTCTCTCTGATTCACAAATGCTTATTGTGAAAGGGTAGATTTCCTCCTCTACCCCTCTTGAGTTCTTGTGGCTGGACTAATAATAAAATTGACACAGAACAGATTAACTAGAGAAAAAGAAACCAATTTTAATTCATGTGCATGGAGGTCTCATAGAAATGGGATCTAAAAAGTGGCCAAAGCAGGCAGCTTTTATACTTTTAAGATAAAGAAACAATAAATTTGTGAGGAATTGACAAGACAAAAATATTTAGGTTTGAGGTGCTTAATAAGTGAAGAATCTAAACAGTTTGGGCTTGAGGTAGTAAATTAAAAGAAGTAACAAGGTTTGTTTATATAGACTTCTTGGCTCTGAATTCCCTGTCTGACAATAAGGGTGTCTGTCCTACCTCCAGAAGCAAGGAGTGCACCTTTAACGTGAGAGATTTATTTCCTGCTTTTCAGGGAGACAGGAGGGTCAAAGTTTCCTTCTTGCATCAGCTGCTTCATAAGCAACTTCAATTTAAGATAATGTGCTGTTGTGACATGTTTGGGGGCAGCCCACCCTGAGCCCCCAAATACTCATACATTGTTATGTGTTAGGTACTGAAATTTATTCAATGTTATATAGCTTGCACTGAACTTTATAAGACCATCTTCTTTCCCCTTCCAGGAGGGTGTTCAATCCTAGGCTCCTTTTCTATTTCTACATACTCCTGTGGGTGATCATGGCTGTAACAAGGATTTTTTTCCACTATTACTTGCAGCCTTCCATTCCCTATACTTTACATCCATTCCTATAAGAGATGTATGAATATCTTTACTCAAATGGTCAATCCCATTGTGAAGGAAAAGCCCAGCTGGGCTAACGAGCTAAGTCACAAATCTAAGTGTGATAAGTGTCGGTTTACTGATAGAAGTTCTGCCGGGCTAACTCGTAAATCTGAAGTTTAGTGTCAGTTTACTGGGCTAACAAGCTAACTCATAAATCCAAGCTCAACAAGTGTCAGTAACGTGATCTGTTCCGAATTGATAAGCTCCAGTGTACTGATTCCTTGCTTTTTGTTGTTTGAGCCTTATTGGCTAATAGCCCCATACTTGTAATTAACCCTATAAAACCTCATGTGCACGTCTTGGAGGTGCTCAGAGCTTCGGAGCAGAAGCCCCTCTGAGCCCGCCGGCGTAATAAATCTGAGTACTCCAACCCTCCGAGTGGTGCTTGTTTCTTGGCTGGCCTGTCATTTCCGTAACACCATAAGCATCTCAAACTCAAATACCCAAAACCGAACTCACTTTTTCCCCAAACCTGCTATATTACCTACATTAGGGAATGGTCTCACTATTTTAAATTGGTCTTCCCCCTTAGAAACCTGAGAGTCAATCAGAATTCCTCCATTTTCCTCAAGATACGCATTCAGAGAAGTTCCCTTGCAATCTCAGGAATCCGTCCTTCTCTGTGTCCCCACCAATTTTGCCTCTTCACCATATCTTGAATCTGTCCTGTGCTTACCATTCTATTTCTCTTATACCTTCTTGTCTGGACTATAACAAATCCCCAAATGCCCTCTTAGTTTCCCTCTCCAGTTTATTCTCCACATTGCTGCCAGTGATCTTTCTAAAATGGAAACTGATTACTCCTCTGTGTATTTTTAGTTTGGTATCTAAAAGTTTTTATCATAAGTTTAAACAAATACAAAGGATATAATTTCCGGCCATATCATGAATGTTGACCTTTTTAAATAAAAATACTACATCAGTCTTTAAAATGTATTTTATAGACTATAAATACTATAGTGATTTGATAGATCAATCACTTTTTAAAACTATGAACAGTCTTTAACTGCTAGATATTCTACATAGTTGTTTTTCCCTTTGAATTTATGTCCACTTCGTTTCTCCCACAGAACTTATTCTAATATAATTTGATTTTAAGCTTGAAAAGTCATTTTTTTATCACCCTATCTTATGCCTTTGTGTAAAAAAAATTTTTTTTAATTGGCATTTTCTGTGATCATAAGTCTCTAAGTTTTAAGTTTCTTCTAGGTTGACTTATTACAATTATTAGTAGTATGATCAAAACAACATGGATCACTAATATCAGTAACTAATCAAAAAATTTATTGGAAGTGTGTCTTTTAAAGAGATGGATTTTGGGTGTTTATGATACTTTTATTAAATGAATTATTCAGTTGTCTCTTAATTGGGGCCCCAGAAGTTTTTATAATTTGGGTCAATGCAAGGTATAAGATTGGGGAATGGAGATGCCTTTCTTTTGAAAAGTGGAGGAAAGGTAGTGATGAAGACAGGGGGAAAAGAGAGCTTTGACCTTTGCAGACAGGTCAGTTTTAGAAATGCATATGTGGAAGTTGAGTATCTGGAAATTAATTCTCTGAAAACTCTCATACTTATTTAAAAACCCCAGGGGCTTAAGTTGTGTGATGCTGAGGAAAGAATAGCCTTTTCCAAATGAGTGTTGTAGGGGAAAGCATTGCAAGTTCTTATTGGAAACAGCCTAGGACAATGAGGATCCAAAAGTAGTTTATGGGGCTGGTCCTTGAAGCCTGTGTTGTCCAGAGCACAGAAGTGGAGGGGTAAATAGGGACCAGTTACTAAGCCATGATAGACCATTTGTTAGTCTTTGGAGAATAATCTACAGGCAGTGAGGCAGAGTTGGGGTGAGGGGTGTTGGGGGGTGGTGGTCACTGTTTAATTGTAAAGAATTAGGTCTCCGCTGCATTATTCAAGATTTGGTCCTTTTGAATTTGTGAGTTGCGGTCATTAAACTTTCTTAAAAATTTCAAAACCACCAGTATACATTTATATAACTTCAGAACAGAGGCTTTTGTTTTTAAATTGATTCTGTGGATGGATATTTGTGTACTCTACAACATAGCTAATTACTGTATTCATATTATTTTAGTGGTCTTTAATGGCTTGTTTACAATGGTATCTGGCTTTGAGTTAATATCCACAGGAATAATTACTAAATTTGGATTGGATTTCTTTGCCTCCTTTGTATTCCTCCAGGTTATTACTATGAACATCCAAACTAGATTTGTCTGAGGTTATGTGAGGCTACGATGTCTTCTCCAAATGGTATTTTTGATGATAAGTAAGAATTGAAAGTACCCTAAAATATGAGTTTGTTAATTAGACAGCTGTCTAGATTGTAACTTCATTGTTTCCTCTGATGCTTACTAAACATTTGGTTCTCAGTAACTATTTAGAATGAATGTTTCTTTTATATATATATATAATTATATCATAATGAGCGATGTTGAGCATCTCTTCGTGTGCCTGTTGGTCATCTGTATATCTTCTTTGGAAAAATGTCTATTTAGGTCTTCTGACCATTTTTTGATTGGGTTATTTGGCTTTTTGATACTAAGCTGTGTGAGCTGTTTGTATATTTTGGAAATTAATCCCTTGTCTGTCTCATCATTTGCAAATATTTTCTCCCAATCCGTGAGTGGTCTTTTCTTTTGTTTATGGTATCCTTTGCTGTGCAAAAGCTTTTAAGTTTAATTAGGTCCTGTTTGCTTATTTTTGCTTTTATTTCCACTACTTTAGGAGATGAATCAAAAAAATATTGCTATGATTTATGTCTATGAGTGCCCTGCCTTTGTTTCCCTCAAGGGGTTTTATAGTATCCCATCTAACATTTAGGTCTTTTGAATTTATTTTTGTATATGGTGTT